CCGCCGCCATATTGGCTGCTCTTCCCCTTTCCGGAATGTCGCCTCACGGCCCTCAACCAATCAGATCCCCCGGCTCCGAGACGGTCAGCCAATGGAGTTCCGCGCAGCCGGGCCGACGCGCCTGTGCAGAAGCAACGCCTCACGGGAGTCGTAGTTCTTCAAGAAGCCCGGCCCCGCCCCGCCCCACCCCCGGCAGGCGATTCAAGGGCCGCCAACGTCAGGCAGTAAGGGATAAGTTCTGGGCTTGCGGGTTCACGTCTGTCCCGTGCCAGCTTCGGAATCGGAGATGGGTCGCGGCCGGGCGATTTCTCCGCGTGCTGCAGATGCAGCCAGTTGCGTGTGCATCTCCGACCTCAGGAGTGTCGCTGCCGTGTGTTCACGATAGGCCGGGCGGCCAGAGCGCCCACTTTTCCGGTCCCCGCGCGCAGATTTACCCATGAGAAGGGCCGCCTTCAGTGGCAGCTCAGCGCTGGGTGGGAGGAGCCGCAAGCTGGCTCCGGGGCGATTGCTGGTTGCTCTCAGCCCACGGCAGACGCGGCTTCTCGTCCTTTCTTTTGAGGACTTGGTCACCGGTAGGCGAGCTTCGCGCCGCTCACCGTCTATCCCAAGGCGGGAGGAAACAGCGTCCGCAGACCCACTGGGCAGAGGAACTGATGTGAAATGGCTCCTCTGAGGCGCCGTAGGGGGCGTCCGGTGCGTCCCTAGCAACCGTTTGCGCGGGCTCCAAGGCTTGGGCCCGCCAAGTCCTACCCATAGACACTCGTGGTTGGTTTGCATTACCTGTCAATTATTGCTAGTTGTTCTGCGATTGGTCTGCTCTAGAAGCGCGAGTCTGTTCCCTTGGCCTTGTGAAAATATCTTGAGGCTGTTACCCTCACCAGCTTTAGGTGAAGCATTGGGGCTCTGGAGCGGTAACTGAGGACCGCAGTTAAGGACAATTGGCGGCCCTGCGTGCCCGGTCCAGGGGCCCGGCTGAGGGGCCTTGCCGCCTGACCTCTGGCCGAGGAGCCACGCCCCTCTCCCAGTGCGGGCCCCAGGTTGTGACACCGCGGCGCGTTGGAGGGTTTCTGAAGTTTGCCGGGCGCTCAGTCTTCTCGCCTGAATCAGTCGTGCATAGTTTGTCCATCTGTTCACTGTCATCCTACTAGAAGGTAAGGCGGAATAGCGCCCACGCCCTGCGCGCGGTTGCGGTCCTTCCGTGCCTGCTGAAATGAGTGAGCGGCTGCGCCGCCTGCTGCTTCCGGCCCTTGTCCTGGGGAGGACCCAAACACACGTGGGCTTTCCCTAAACCTTCTCTTGACTGCTTTTTCTTTTGCCCGAGCTAAACTTGGGATGCTGTGTTGGCACCTTTTACACTTACTCACCACGGTCTCCCCACGCAGCAAATCCAGTTAATTCTAAGTTGATTTTTCTTTTATTGGTCCCTTCTCTTCATCTTTCTACCATGGTCTGAAGGACGTCACAGTTTCGGGCCCGAGTTACCGTATTCTTTCCTCTTGTCCCATCCTTGCACCTACATTGCCCTGGAATGATCTTTGTCAAATTCATGTCCGGTCATGTTTAAACCTGGCGTTCTTTAAAGTTAGTCTTAGGGATAAAATCCAGATTTAAAGAAAGATTAACTTTTAGGAAAGAAACTTTTAAGATACTGTCAGATCCTCTCAAGATTTGGAGCACTCCCCAAACACTTGGGTGTACTGAGGTACTTGGTACTTGGGTGTCCATTGAGTGAACGGAGTTGACCAGCCTCGGGGGCTGTTGGAGTTAGGCTCTGTTTCTCTAGGCCCCTCTCCACCAACTCTCCTGTGCATTGTCCAGTGAGTCTGCCTGTAAGGCTCCTTTCACTCAGTTCTGCATGGCTTTGCAGGAGTTGCCTCCAAGGGTGTCTGGGAGGTCCCCTTTGTGTCCCTGCTTCATCACAGAAACCGTTATTTGTGTGTTCATCAGGACAGCTTGCTGCAAAGAACAGAGCTGTGGGCTCTGGCTGATTCTAACAGTGAGGAAAGAAGCAATTGGCCTCCAAACCTCAAATCCAGAGGAAGTCAGGTTTTAGAGTAGACTGATTCAGTAGTTCACAAGTTTCCAGGTCCTAACCACTTTCTGTTCTGCTGTCTGCTGGTTGGTTTCATTCAAAATTGATTCTGTTCTCTATTGTACACAGGCAAGGGAAATAATTGGAGCTGTTTGTTCCTAGCTTTAGTTCTGGTGGGGATGAAAGATTGTTTCCAGATTCAAAAAAAAAAAAAATCCTAAAATTGTAGGCCTGAATTTATAGTAGGCATTTCTGGTTAACATTTGATTCAGAATTAAACCTGTGCAAAATAGAGAGATCTCTGGGCATGTGAAGCTGGCCTCTGTCTCTCAGAGGCCAGCCCGGCATTACTGGGGCCTTTTGTTCTGTGGTTGGGACCTCACACAGCACAGGAGGCATCAAGGAGAAAGGGATTAAACTTTACTGCTGGCCTCCCTCCACATCCCCATTGCAACCTTCTTCCCTGCACTACATTAAAAAGATTTTTTTTTTCAGTATCATGCCTCAAACTCCTGACCTTGCACTTGCCAGGCAGGTATGGTGCCACTGAACTACTTCCCTGCCCCCTGCACGCCATTTTAACTCTCAGTAATGTAATTAAGCAGCCCCTCTTGCCCTATGCACATCAGGCAGTATTTATCTTTTCAGAAGACAGAGTCCCTGCCCTTACTCTTCTTTCAGATTTCCTCCATCCATTTTGTTAGTAACCCTTTGTAACATTGACAGTGTATTCTGAAGCATTATTACTTTTCAAGGTGAAGTTTTGTAAAATTGACAGTGAAGTCTGAGGAGTCGTATTAAGCTTTTTACAAATTCCTCCTGGAACACAGTGATTTCAGGCCTGTCTTGCATTAGGAAGGGCCTGTGTACCATGTGTCACCCACCAGCTTGTTCAAATTTGGCTTTCCGGCGAGGCCTCTTCTCAGACAGTTATCGGTGCTGTTGCTTGGTTCCCAAGTAGGAAGAGGCTGCTGTGGGGCTTGGGAGTAGTTTGAGGCCATTAGGGAGACTCTGCCTGGGGTCTTTTGTGGCCACAGCATGCTCTTGACCTTGTGTACAAGTGATGATTAAATGGGCCTGTCCTAGCAGAGGCACTTTCTTCTTAATGGCTGTGTTGAGTGCCTGCATGTGCACAGCACTGGGGAGCGTGTGTCATGATGCACATACTTGCCAGCACACGGTGTGGAGCTGTTCAGTTTCTCATGAGTATGTGTGAGCATACATGTGAAACCAGTCCACACACACAAGTACAGTTAAGCTCCCATGCCTGGGTTTCCTGGCTGTAACTACTGCTGTCGAGGAAGGTGTTGCCATTGGAGGAAACTCTGTGAAGGGTACTGGGATTCTCCTGTGTTTTTTCCTTAAATCTTTATTTGAATCTACATTTGTATCAAAATAAGAGTTAGAAGCACACACCTCCCTCTGGTGCCAGGCTGGTCCAGCGAAGTAGCCTCAAAGGATGGACATGCTTTTGTCACCTGTGCTGCGGAGGCTCGCAAACCCTGAGAGCCAGCCATTCTTGTGGAATATGTATCAGTCTGGATCCTGGGCACTTCCCGTTCCTGTGGACCTGCGGCTCCTGCTTTCACTTCTGGCCCCTTCCCACACCCTCATTTAGTTTTGCCCTCTTTTTCCTTCTCACTCTAGCATAACTTCCTGTGTTCCTTGTTTCCATTCTTTTTTTTTTTTTTTTTCTTTGAGACAGGGTCTCACTATGTAGTGGAGACTGACCTGGAACTCACTATGTAGCCCAGGCTGGTCTCAAACTCACAGCAATCCTCCTTCTTCAGCCTTCTGAGTGCTGGGATTACAGGCGTGCGCCACCACGCCCGGCCTTTCCTGTGTTCCTTGGAAAGAGCTTCTTTATGGCAGTTTAGGTTGGCTGACTGGGGTGGCGTGGGGTGACTTTTGGGGCTCAGTGTAACTCAGCATTATGAGGAGTTTGCTGGCTAAACTGCCTCTGCTCTTACCCTTATTTTTCTAGGTGGGGGACTCGGCATCTGGCCTGCTGGCTCCCTATGGAAGACCCAGGCCCTTCCACAGTGGACAAAGATGGCAGGAGCCTATCTGGCAGTGTCTTTGTGCCTGCACCCACCAAGGGTCCATCTGCACAGGCGGCCTCTGAGCCCTGTAAGCCGCTGTCAGCCCGAAGACACCTGAGCAGGAAGGATGGGCTCTCCAAGCTCTGCCAGAGCAGGATGGCGCTCTCAGGTATGGCCTCAGTGCTGTGGCACCAGCCTTGCAAGCTGAAAATGTGGGCTCGCCATTTCGTTGGTGACCTTAAGTAGTTCTGAATTCTTGCAAGAATAGTTGTTTTCCAAGGCCCTTGGCTGTGCTGGTGAGGACACCAGAGCCCTTTCCTGCTGCCTCTGTCCTTGCTGGGATGTGAAGTTACCTCCAGGTGCAGATTAGAGCAACTGATGTTCTTACTTAGAGTGTGCAAGAGTGCTGCCTTAGTCCAGGCTGTTTTCCTATCAGCTCAGAGAGTTTCCTGATCTGTGCAGCAGGGGTGGGCTTGTCACCCGGAGGTTTCTTTAGAAGTGGCTCACCAGTCAGAAGAATTTCAGGTCTTTCTTGGCTCAAACAAACAGTTGGACAAGACCAGCCAGAAATGGTGCTAGAAGTTTATTTGAAAAGTGTAGGGTGAATTGGTATGGGAGCGACTAGCTCTGCATAGTGAATTTAGGCAGAACGAGAGAAAAAAAAAAGACAAATGCAAAAATAAAAGTATACTCTCCATCTGGGAACACAGCGTGGGCTATGGTGGGAAATCATGATAGTGGGTTCCCTGTGGCATTAGTCTCTTTTGCCATCCATTTCCCGTGGGAGCCTGTGAGAAGTTCCACATATGGGGTCCTGGGAATTATATGGCACCATCCTGCATGTGTGACTCACTCTGCAGATTAACCAAATCCGTGGATCCATGTGGGCTGTGTGCTTCACCTCTGTCATAAATGTGCTCCTGGCTTGTGAGAGGGCTCACACTATATCTATCCTTCCTCAGAAGACAGATGGAGCTCCTATTGCCTCTCATCCCTGGCTGCCCAGAACATCTGCACCAGCAGACTGCGCTGCCCCACGGCACCCGAGCACGTGGACCTGGCTGCACCCTTGGGCAATGCGTCCTGCTGCTCCCTGCTGCGCGGCTTGTCTTCAGGATGCTCTGTGCCCCTGCTTCCGGCCCCTGCGTCCAACCCCAACAAGGCCATCTTCACCGTGGATGCCAAGACCACAGAGGTACTGGCTTGGTGTGGATGTGGCCCAGCTGTGGATATAGATTTTGGGATTATGCTTTAAACCTGAAACCTCAAACAGAGGTGTGTGTGTGTGTGTGTGTGTGTGTGTGTGTGTGTGTGTTTTAATTTTTCGGTTCCAGGGATCGAACTCAGGTCCTTATACTTGCGAAGCAGGCGGCAGAACCACTGAGCCAAATCCCTGGCCCATGTGTGTGTGTGTGTGTGTGTGTGTGTGTTTTAATTTTTCGGTTCCAGGGATCGAACTCAGGTCCTTATACTTGCGAAGCAGGCGGCAGAACCACTGAGCCAAATCCCTGGCCCGTGTGTGTGTGTGTGTGTGTGTGTGTGTGTGTGTGTATGTGTGTGTGTTTTGTTTGGGGTGCAAGGCCTCACGGATGTTAGGCAAGTGCTCTATCACTGAGCTATGGTCCTAGCTTTTTTATTATTCATTTTGAATCAGTTTCTTGCCAGGTTGCCTAGGCTGGCCTTGAACTTTTGATCTTCCTACTTCAGCCTTTTGAGTAGCTGTGTTTACAGGTGTGCACCATGGTGCCTGGCTGGACTTTGTGTGTTTTATAAGTGCATCAGGAAAAATTTGGCTTTACCTATGTAGTAGTGGAAGGAAAAATTCAGAGAACTTGGGCCAGGGATTTAACTCAGTAGTTCTAGTGCCTGCCTTGTAAGCGCAAGGGCCCAAGTTCGATCCCTGGTACCAAAAAAAAAAAAAGAATTCAGAGAACTAAATATGAGTTGAATAGATCAAATGCCTCTCCTTCCAGCTGGGCTGCAGGGGAGGGTGTGGTGTGAGCTGTTACCAATCTGACTGCCGGGGAGTAGTGCCCAGTGTTCTGTGAGGGCGGCAGTGCATTGTACCCATTTGAGTACACACAGCCGATGGACAGACAGGAGTAGACAGGAGTGGAATTTGGTGTGAACACCCATGTTTTCCTCATAGTCTAGGCTGTCATGTGCCCACTGTGGCCAGGGAGGGGTCCTGGGGGACTCAGCACTGGCCGAGTCTGTGAGGTTGAGACATCGAGTACAGTGTGTGTCAGTCATCTCCAGAGACCTGGCTAGAGAGTGAGGAGGCCCAGGTGGGAGGCCTAGGCTTCCCTCCTTGGCTGCTCCTGGGAATTAGAGGAGCTGCTGGTGACACTGTGTCTTGCTCCTCTATGCCCCTTCAGATCCTGGTTGCCAACGACAAGGCCTGCGGGCTCCTGGGGTACAGCAGCCATGACCTGATTGGCCAGAAGCTGGTGCAGTTTTTCCTGCAGCCGAACTCGGAGCTGGCAGAAGCCCTCAGCGAGGAGCACATGGAGGCCGATGGTCATGCTGTGGTGGTGTTTGGCACAGTGGTGAGCAGGCACAGTGGGGTGGCCTGGCTCTACAGCTGGAGGGGCACACCTTCCTCTCCCAGGCTTTGACCTGAGCTGCGCTCTGTGTGGGGCCTGGCAGCACCAACAGCTTGAGCTCCACAGCTTCCCCTGTGAGGTCTGTGGGACTCCTAAAAGGAAAGCTCAGAGGAGTGTGCACTGTGATGGGCTGACGTGGCTCACAGAGTGCCCTGAGCTGTGTTTGAGGGATAGGTTTGGCCTGTGCTCTGTAAACCTGCAGGCAGCCCTCAGGATTCCCAGAAGAGCCATGGAATGCTATGACTCCTTCCTACATCTGAGCCCACACTTCCCCTTTGTGCGGTTGGTGGGTGATGTGACCCAGCCTCTTTCCCAGGAGAGTTTTGATCCTCTCACCTGTGCCGCTGGGTCCAACCTGAAAGTGGACTTGAGCTGAGTTCCTAGATGCTGAGGCCTGAGCCCTGGGGTGGAAGGAACTGGACAGGGCTAATTGCATCTGGAAATGACTGGCTCAAGAGGTGACAGCTGCAAAGAGAAAAATTACAATACTAAATAGATACTCATGGCTGTTTAAAAATAACATATACTGCTTTTTTCCCCTCCTAAATACCATGAAGCTGAGTGTATTGGCCAGGCTCTCCTGAGGAATAGAACCAATAATATATATGAAATTATAGTAGAGGATATAATTAGATCGATTGTCTAACCTGAGGCTAAATGGTCCCACAAAGGCTGTCTGCAAGCTGGAGAAGGAAAGCAATAGCTGCTCAGCTCAAGATGCTGGAGCCTTTGAGCAAGAGGAGGCCCAGCGATGCGCCCTCAGTCCCAGGCTGCAGGCCAAGGGCCCCTGGACGGTTGCTGGTGCCAGTCTGTGCTCCAAGTGTGGAGTGTGATGTCTGTGGCAATGGCACAATATTACTTACGAAAAGCCCCATATGAATGTGCAAGCCCCTCTCCTTCTGCATTTCACTCCATGTGAGTCCCCAGCCCACAGAGGGCACTGCCCAGGCAGAACAGGTTTTCCCCATGCTGCCTGCTGGCCCCGAGCTGGAGGTTGGGCGTCTCTGGAAACACCTTCACAGACGCCCAGATCTGTGCCCTGCCAGGTTGAGTTCACAGACGTGGCAGATGCGGGAGGCGCAGGTGCCCTCCGAGCTGGTCAGGAGCAGTCGCCTGTGTCTGCAGGTGGATGTCGTTAGCCACAGCGGGGAGAAGATTCCAGTCTCTGTGTGGATGAAGAGGGTGCAGCAGGAGCGTGGCCTGTGCTGTGTGGTGGTCCTGGAGCCTGTGGAGAGAATCTCGGCCTGGGTCGCCTTCCAGAGTGAGGTGAGTGAGTTTGCATCTTGGGTGAATGCAGCTCTGCCTGGGGGACCCCAGCCTTGGCACCTCAGCCAGATTCTTCTTGCCTCCCACCTGAGGAAGACAGAGCGCCGGGTGTTTGCTCCTTAGCAACCATGTATCACCTGTGCCTTAGCTGCTTCATCTATTAAAATGCAATCTAAACTTAACTGCTCATAGGATGGGATTATTTTTATATTTAAGTGAAACCCTTAGAGCAGTGGCGGGCATTGCAGATAGCTCTCAGCCATGTGCTGGGCCATGGTAACTGAGGGGCCAGGGCCTGTGAGGACTCCAGAAAGCCAGCAGTTTGCATATCCAGTACAAGAGGGAGACCCTGCTGCCTTCTTGAGAGAGCACATTTACGTGCCTCTTGCACTTCTGAAAATGGCTTTGCTCTTAGTTTGCAGACCCTGAGGTTTAGTAAAATTTAAAGCTGAGGTGCATGGTGCTTTTACTGTAACACTTGTGATGTGGGATTTTTTCCAGGGAACCATCACATCCTGTGATGATCTCTTTGCTCATCTCCATGGGTTTGCGTCTGGGGAGGATGTAGTCGGGCAGCCCATCACAGACCTGATCCCGTCCCTGCAGGTCCCTCCTGCTGGCCAGCCTGTCTCAGAGGTAGGACCCG